CTTTTGGCAAGTGTGACCATCTAGCCACTCGGCATACCTTGGGTTGTCCTCCTTCGGCCCTAGCTGGCAGCCCAAACAAAAGTTCGATAGGACGAGGAAGTCGAGCACATAACCCGTGAATAGTTCAATCACGGTCCCTACACAAATATGAGATGAGTGGCCCCTGGTCAGCCAAGTCCCATCAAAGGAAACGGCGATATTTCCAGGATTTCCATAGTTGAGTTCAGAATACACCGTTTTCACGGTGCTCGCGCAGTTATCAATAACGCGCGCGGCAGCCTTCTGCGCGGCAGGGTTCATTTTCAATTCCACATAATCCTGGTATGTCTTGGTGTGCAGCCCTCTCCGTGAAATATTTAGGGCGGAAAAAATATCGTTGAGCGCAGTTTGCCCGTTTCCTGTGCTCATTGCCGCGCGAACCGTGAGCACGGTAATTTCGAAGGGGCCGTGCGCTGCGTCCCCCCCCTGCTCTCGGCGAGCTCCATACGGCCCTCAGTTTACCGCACTCGTCACATGTGAGAACAAGTTTCGCGGTTATGCCATATTCGCGGTCTTCCTTAGAGATTCTGCCAGGCCCGCCACACACACTGCACTTCATACACTGAAGAAGTTCGTTGACCAACTCTAAGCTAACGACGGTGAACGGCGTACCAGGCGTTGCGGCTCCATCCGAGTCTCAAAAAAAAGACCGCTTGCGTTTTGTGGCAGACTTCGATGAAAGATCTTGCAGAACATCGCTCGCACGACACTCGATGGCCACTTTTTCAGCGTCGGAAACCAGGGGACTGTCGACGCGCACAGCTCTCGTGTGATCTTGGGACGTGGCTATCGCGTCCGCGATCGCGGGTGCCGCGGCGGTTATAGCGCTGGCACAGCCTGCTTCTTCCAAGTTCTCGGCTCTCGGCGGCAGAAGGTCTCGCTGGTGATAAGGTGCAGGCTCTAGGACGCCGTTTTTGCCTTTTTCCGAACGCATGAGCACTCCGGAACCTCCGATGACCGCCTGCCATTGCACCGAATGCACAGCCATTGTTAAGCCTCTACGCAAAATGGCGGCTTGCACGCCGCTGTCCGGCAGACGAACTCCTTCGCGTCCAATAGGAAACCGGGAACTGCCCCACGTGACAAAAACGCACCAATGATGTGCGAGTATTCAGTTTTTCTTTATGTGCGATAGCTGCGTTGTTGCTAGACGAAAAACGTTCGTCTGCTAGGAACAGATAATAGAAAAATGCGTCTTTAAAATGAGACCAAAATGGCCATGCTACTTGGTGCTGTTCTCGCGCGCTGCGGCGTTGAATACGACCGTTTGAGGTGGTTTCGGAAGCGAAAATGGTCATCAAACTGACTTTGCGACCCAATAACTCAACAAATACGCATTACAGGGCTATAATATTTTAGGAACAGCTTCCTTAGACCTTAATGATTATGAAAAAAAAATACTTCAAAAAAATCGGTTTTTCAGAAAATTTTCGGCCTCCCATACCCGTGTCTCCACTTAAAAAAGATGTGAAACATCACACTCCAATAGCTAAGGAGCTTACATGCAAACTTTTTTTTTCTTCTTTTAAGTTGCACCTCAGTAATTCGGACTCCAAAGGGGATAGAAAGTCTGTTCGAATTCACCAGAGTTCGAACTAGTGCGCTCCCTATGATAAGCCCTACAGTACACAGTACAGTGGAGTTGACTATTGTAAAACCTCATTAATTTGAACTTAGTTTTTTCGAAATCCCACCTAATTTAAAGTAGTAGTTCCACGGTCCCATATTCTGCAATGCAAGTTTGAGCGGATAATTTGAAGTGGCGGTCAGCACAAGTGTGGTTAATTTGAAACTTTTGGCTGGAGTGTGCCAATTCCGGATCACAATTTCGCCAAAACTCTATGCAAACAACGGCCCTGAAGAGCCACTCGGCAACGTATTTTAGCAATACTAGCGAGTAGTAGCTGAAGCACTTCTGCCTCATTACTTCCAGGATGAAAAATAAAATTATATATAAATGTCACAGTTTTGCCACGAAGGTGTAGCAATGAATGTGATAGCAAGAAATTGGAAGGTCACGCACAGAATGGCAAGCAGATCAAAATGTGACCCACGTTTCTCTCGCACAAATTACGTACGAAACGTACTTGCGGGTACAGATGAACGCGAATCAGCGTCTTGATTGTTAATTCTCTGTGTCTGAAAAGTGCGCCCTTTTTGCAAACGAAGACTGTTCAATGATTGTAGTGACCTTTCAGCGCCCGGTAACTGCAACTGAAGCGTTCTGGTGATAGCCCAAGGCGGGCCAAGATGTATGATCGTCCCCACTGCGAGATAAGCGCACACGTTGAGGTCCACCCTGCCCCCTCTCCACGGGGCAAAGTACACGTGGGAGATGAGAGCACGCGCCGTAACGACGTGGTGACGCGCGTTCATTGTGCCATCTTGCTGGTAAAGCTGAAAACACGATAGTTCCCCCCCACCCCCACCCCGAGATGACTGTCATCAGCAGTGATAAGTGGTAGATATAAATAGCTTGCGGTTTGAACGTTGAAGGAAGTACTCCTATGTAGCTCAGTGGCAAACGCCTCGCACTCACAATTCAGAGGTCCCACGTTCGATTCCGCACGCCGAAGTCTTTTTCTGGATTATCTTTGTTTCTTGCGTTTTCATATATATATATATAGATAGATATGTATACAGATACAATGAGTGACAGCGACGTCAATGCCCGGAACAAAATCCAGCCGAGAGTGTTCATATAATTTCTATCGCAGTAAAAAAAAAAAAAAACGATCTTCTGATAAACTGCAATATAGCAGTGACGTGCGAGCACCATGTCTCATGCTTCTCGCAACGTCAGCGCGTCATGATTTATCCATTCTTTCTGGGAATTTAAAGAAAATAATAAAGGTCAGTCTGGAGAAATCCGCGATCTATGCAAACCTCTTAATGCCGGTTTCTCCAGCAATTGGTCCACTTGCACAGATGACAGAGTTCTTGACTGCAACACCTACTTCGAAAACTCGCGTTCGTTGGAGAACTTACCCCTGTAAGTGCGAAATGATGTCACGCAGTGGCAGGGGAAGTACATTTTCATGATTTTCTCCAGCGTACTTCAAGTACAATGCCTTTCATTGGACGCGGACGAGCATGAGTTTGCTAATTTGTGATCGCAGCTGATGCATCAAACTTTGTCGTTTGGCTTGGGTTTGCAAGAAAAGTAGTTTGTGAATGAGCAATTACATTTGAAATAACCGTGGTGCATGTTTCAGGTTTGAATTGAAAGGAGCTTTTCCACATTCAAGTGCGTGCCACTTTGCCAGGACCAATGTACAAGTTCAAATTATCTGATAACTAAAATTATGAGAGTTTTATTTAAAGGGACCCACAACTGGCCTGAATGGGTGATTAGATTCCAGTGGAAAATAAAAGAGCATGATATATGGTGACAGGTGACAGCATACTTTTTGCATTCTGAGTAGGATTTATATTTTTAACCGGCATGTCACGCCTCTAGCACCAGAGCTATGAAACACAGTTATGAAGTCCTATAACTTTACTGTGAATATTTAAAGTGCACCGGAATAAGGGCTTACACTTCGAATATGTATGTTATTGTTCATTTTCGTTTGTTTCTATGTGGCTTACAAAGTAAAAGAAGTGTACCATGAAAAGTGGTGCTGCTTTCGTGGCCTCTGCAGGAAAACGGGTGCAGTTGTGCATATGCGCGGCCACACGGCGTTGCCACAGTAGCGCGATTCCCGTTGCGTCGGGCACTTTTAAGAAGCACACGACGAGCTTTTGAATACAATCGCTGCGGCGCATAAAGGACCGTTAGCCTACTGCTCTGTGGAGAACTGCTTCATGCAGCAGCTGGTGGTGGCCATGGTAGCGGTCCGTCGGATTCGACGCTGCTGCTATCGTCTGTCAAAACATGTCTGTCAAAGCGTGCGAGCCAAAATTTGTTCCTTTAACTCGCTCAAGTTGTCAAGCGATGACATCGAAGCCGACCAACTGCGGCCGAACGTGAACTACTATGCGTGAATTGTCAATCGCGTGTAAACGTATAGTTTCGTTTTCAAAGACTTGTCTTGGCTCGACTTGGCTAAAGTCGAAAAAACTACTCGTGCACGGCCAAAAGTACTTGCTTAAGAAGCCCCGAGAAAGTGCTGTAACTCTTGTAATGTAATTTAGCACGCTAGAAAGCAGCGGTCGCGGGACTGCAGGCTTGACAAACACAACATCACGTGTTCGTACTTAGAGCTTCACTTTTCCTCACTGCTGGCGTTTCACTGGCGTATAATCGCTATCGCAATCACATCCACTATTTGCAGCATGGCTTTTTAAGACTGCATAATCGCCGCAAATTGAAAAATTCTGATTATAAATGTTCTGCGGTGTTTTGTGCGTTACCATTCCGTGTTACAAGCTCTGACAGATAAGCCTCAAGTTGAACTCAAGAAAACGGGTACCAGGGATATTGGTTGTGGGTCCCTTTAAGAAGGTTTAGCTTTATACACATATTTTTGAGAGTATATGGGGGGATGTTATGGATCAACGCTCACAGCATATATTTTAGAGAGAACCAGGTAATGCTCTCGGTGTTACATATTGCCAAGTTGCAGTTTGTGTGAATTCATTGGTATTGTGCCTTTATTGTGTGTGTGCTTTAATTTGAAAAATAGCTTTGCCTATATAAATGCACATATCGAAATGAAACACTAGAGTCAGCTGGTATTATGCAATTTTTCATTATCATAATTATATTGTATAACACTAGAGTCAGCTGGTATTATGCAATTTTCGATTATCATAACTCTATTGTATAACCAGATTCGGTTAGAATAAAAATTGTTCTGGAAGGTTGAAGAATGTAATATGCTACTCAAAGTGTAATATGTTAATAAGGCTTGACATGAATTTGATCCTGCCTCGAGAGCAGTACTCTGTCGTTTCTTTGAGCAAGTAGTTATCTCTTAGTTAATTATTCTTGTTATTTTTTTTCTCTCTTTCCTCAGGTGGCTATGACTACAATGCTTACCGAAGAGACTACTACAATTACTATCACTATGGCTACGCACCACGCTCGGGCTATGGCTATGGCTATTATGATGAGTTGTACAGAACCAATCCAGCGTGAGTTAAGACTTCTTTGCAAGCCCTTTGTGTGCTGCTGGCATGAAGGAATGCTTTTAGGGAATGAGTGGCTTGAAAGTGTTAGTGTTTGCCCCAATTTTCTTTTTTGCTTTGATTGTTAAGATAAGCATTTGCATTCAGAGCATTCATTTACATTGGAAGCACTCCAATATTCGCCCATGCTTAGAGTATCTTTATGTAGGGGAACTTAGTCGTACAAGCTTTATAATACTTTTGTGAAAATTCGCCGATACTGTCCTAGGGTCTCTTGTAGACCACCAAGCTTCACAATTATTCCATTGCATTGAAAACACCTCATAAGGGGGTGTTTAGGCATCTAAGAATCCCTGCTTTTAAATTTCTCGATCTGGCCTCGCCGCGGTGGTCTAGTGGCTAAGGTACTCGGCTGCTGACCCGCAGGTCGCGGGTTCGATTCCCGGCTGCGGCGGCTGCATTTCCGATGGAGGCGGAAATGTTGTAGGCCCGTGTGCTCAGATTTGGGTGCACGTTAAAGAACCCCAGGTGGTCTAAATTTCCGGAGCCCTCCACTACGGCGTCTCTCAGAATCATATAGTGGTTTTGGGACGTTAAACCCCACATATCAATCAATCAATCAAAATTTCTCGATCTGACTTTTATGTTTTGGCTTTGTGTGTGGTAACCCCAAAATTGAGTTGTAAATGCATTAATGTGCTATACCAGTGGTTGTCAAAGGGGGGTCTGCGAACCCCCTGGGGTCCGTGGAGCCATTTTTACGATCCGTGAAATCCTCACCTGCTTTTTGACATTGTTATTTTTTTACGTATAAAACTTTGTTTAAGCGCGGCTGTGCCTCGTATTGATGAACTGTCCAAAATGAAGTGATGCGCCATGTTTGTTTGATGTTTTTGGCGGCAATAAAAGGCACCTGTTTCACGCTCCAGTTGTGTTAATTTACCTACGTACCCCCCCTCCCTCCCCTCTGCTGCAAGGGGTCCCCCATTCCTTCCACCAGTCCACTAGGTGTCCCCGACACATCCATGGCTGAGAACCACTGTACCATAGAATTACCACGAAAATAATTATCACCAACGTTTTTTTAATATCACTTCAAAATGCCCACCTAAAGTCATAAAAAACTGTGCTTTGTTTCAAACATCAGGTGCAATGATATGGAAGCTATGCAAGACGTTTGGTTAGCAAAACATATCACTCTGCTAGTCTCGTGGTCAGCTTTTGTCGTTAAAAACGTTTATGTCAGCATGTAGTTGTGAATGCTTGCGTGAGCATTTACGACTACACACATGACTCGTCATGACAACCTGCAAAACAAAATACCAAGGAACGAAAACAAGAACAAGCTAACCGATCCAGCCGTGTACAGTTAAACCTAGATGACAGATACCCGGAAAAATTCGTCATGAAGAGGTTTTCGTTATATACAGGTTTGGTAAGAAAATTCGAAAAATAAATGCACAAATTAAACAAAAGGGGAACTGAAGGCAGAGCTAGCCCGAGATACTTATTTGGCGGTAAAAAATGCATTATTATTGCGATAGTGATTATATAGAACTCTCGATGGGTTTTCGCCATGTTCCGTCCCAAGTCCAAATTGATAACTAATATGCCATAGCGCATTGTAAGGTTTACAGGCTGATAAAAGCCTGCGAGTGCTGTTGAAGCAGAGAGCAAATGAGCTGAGCCTTCTTTATCACCTGGAAGGTGCATACGATAACATCCCCCTGCGTCTTAGCACTGCCGTTGAATGCTCAAATAGAAAAGAAACCACCCGTCTTGAACGAGCATGAAAAAACGCAGGGAGTAGCAACGATGAACTTTTATTTCAAGGTCGCGATCGCTGGCGCATGTGCTATCTGGGCAAGCATCAGTGTGCATTCAATACGAAGAGACTGTGAAAAGAGCACTCCTCTCTGGAGCGACCATATTTGCTTACACCAATGTTTTGTAGAAGTTCCGCAAGATGGGATCCAAAATAGTTGGCTGCCAGCCTTACTTCGTAATAACATTACAGTTTTTTGCTATGCTGTTCATTGCATTGCATTTAATGCACCATTGTGTTGTTGCCAGAGGTAATCGGCAAGGCTATGGTCCCGTGAACTTGCGGTGCAGGACGGAAGCGCGTGACGGGTCAACCTCCAATGATCCATCATTCTCACCATGGTTTTGAAAAGTTTCCATCAGGGCCCAATCTGTCAGCCCGTCAATGTTGATCCTACGTTTGTTTGCATTTAGAAAAGGAAAAGATTAGAAATAAAAGCAAAGCTGGACATCGTCGGGGGGCCATACCATGCACGCACAGTGAAACCATGCAAGCGCACATGGTGTCAAAAACGAAGAATGAACGACACGGATACCACGAAAAACTATTTTAGTTAAAATGCCATTCGTATGCAGCGCGGCCCCACATATGTGACGCTAACTAAAAGCCTGGCGCTGCCAATGCAAAAGCAGTTTTCTTTTTGTTTGTTTTTATTTTGAGGAAGGGGGAGGGCACATTCGCGCTTGCGCCTGCAGTGGCAAGAACAGCGGCAACGCTGGCTCGTGGGGCGCAGGCCCGCCGCCCGCCTGCCTGCCTGGCGCCTCGTGGCCGCCGCTACCGCTTCGTTGGCAATGAGGCTACCATACAAGATGCATGGTTGTGCCAAAATGACAAAATCGAGGGCAACACTCCTAGCATGGTTGTGCCAAAATGACAAAATCGAGGGCAACACTCCTAGATTGTCTATGGCGAAAACTCGTTATATCAAGGATGTCTCCTGCGGTTAATTTGTTATCTAGAGGTTGCAAATACATGTGCTTCTATGAAGTAACGGTGGGGAATAGAAAAAATTTTGTTATATCAAGGAATTCGTTATATGGAAGCTCATTATTAGCAGTTTTATGTGCAAGAAGTTTGGTTACCAAAATGTATCACTCTGCTCGTCTCGTTCGTCAGCTTTTGTCATTGTAAACGATTTTGTGAGCATTTACAATCACACACTTGACGAGTCGCGACAATCTGCAAAACAAAATACCAAAGAACAAAAACAAGAACACACTAATCAATGCAGCCATGTAGTAACAACAGTATAATGGGGTTTGTTTACTTGTAAGTTACAAAATGTGCTCATTGCATGCTGAGCCAAAATAACTAAAAAATTATTTTGGGGTTTAAAAACATTGAACTGTTTTTTAATACAAACGCATCAACTGCAAAAGTCTTGTTAACCTCTGCAGAGTTGCACCTGATGTGTGAAACGTAGTATAATGACCTACTGCTATGAAGCCATAAGATCACGCTGGCTTTTTTCGTGATGTTGAGAGCGCACTCTTTGAATCTGAGCCCTGCATGTGAATGAAACTACTGTAGACTCCGATTAAACGAAACTCTCTTAAATTAAATTACTGCTTAAATGGAACAACAGCCACTAATATGTTTGGTTTTCTACTTGAATATTGTTCCCCTGTTTATCTCTCCCTAAACGAAAAGAAAACGCATTTTCGTGGTCCCTTCAGGTTTCGTTTAAAAGGAGTCTACTGTATGTGGGTGCTGTAGCAGGAGTGTAAAGCACCAGGTGCATTTTTCTAAAAGACATGTGACGCATCCACTGATGTAAGCAGGTCAACAACAGAGTGAAGGGAGTCAGGAACAAAAGCTGTAGTTGTGCACCGGCAGTGATATTGTGTGCGCCCCGCGAACTTGTCCGTGATGTCGCCAATACAGTGGAACTTCGATTATACGTCTCCGGTTTCGCGACGACCCGCATTTTACGACAAATCGGTTAGGTTCCGGCAAAATCTCCATAGAAATAATGTGCTGAAAACCTTGGTTATACGATGCAGTTTTATGCTGACCCATTCAGATTTCATCCAGAAGAAAAAAGAACGCCTTTACTGGAATCAAACGTGGGCCAAATATTCAAGAGTGCAAAATATGAACTTGCGTTTCCTAAGGTTACGATTAGAAAAGTAGAGAGCTAGACAGATATCTTCTTAGAATGAAAAATTTATTCTCCTGGATGTTCATGCGCTTCTACACACGCTGAAATTGCTTGCGTACATATCGAAGGTCGTTACCTAGTCAAGCTCTATCCACACAAAGTAGCTTCAGCCAGCCGAAAAGCTGATATTTTCAAGTTTTCGGTCCAAGGAAACATTGTCTGGTCAACATACAACTGATCTCCTGCCTTTGTGGCACTCGCAGTCACAGGCTTGCGGACGCTTAAGGGTGCAACGCAGCTGTTCTCACTGTGCAAGATTACTTTCACTTGACGTCGACGATCATACTAACAGCGGGACATACTAGTTGCACTTCACAAGGCCACAAATTACAGCGTGCATAGCTCAGTCGCACACGATGGCATTCTACGCACACTCGTGGTCGGTCGCCATTATGCGACACTCTGTATGACTCTTTTGATGGAAGGCTATTCGGCAACGTGGTTTTGGTTTCGTTTTCACACGCAGTCAATTTTTGGACTCCATTTATTTGTGGAAAGATGCACATTGGATTCAATTCTTATTAAATTTTAGAATAGAGACTTTCAACTAATGCTGCCATTAGTTGTCGCTGGCCAGAATAATTTAATCTACCTTTCTAGCAGAGGCACAAGGTCGTGCCGTGGGCTTATTCAGGCGGTCTATACCCATTTTTGGAGTAAGCTGAGTGTCATTGCTATATTAGTTTTTCAATTATACGACGCCCGGGTCATATGACGGTTTTGCGTGGTCCCCTGAAAGTCGTATAATCGGGGTTCCACTGTACTTGCTGTGCTCGTGAAACATCATACAGGGTTCCTGACCTGTGTCACACTCGCGGCAATATCACTAGGTGCTGCCAACTCACATGAGCATTCAAACTTATAAAATCTCAGGGAAATACTAGTATTATATTTGCATTTTTACATAGTAATTATTCTGCAAACTTTTTATGCTACTTTTATAACTTGGAATGAATAGAGACTTGGATGTATTCTTGTTAATGTATTACCACCGCCCCAATTATTGCATTAATAAGTAGGTTTTATTGTCAACAGGTGAGTGTGTTGTTGCAGTACTCTTTATTGTTTGGGCTGGGTTTTAGAGATTGCATTCTAGAAGCCTTGCTAGAAGAGCTGTTATCTTTCATAATTAAAACAGTCTTGTTCTGTGTCATTTATGATCTGCAGCTACAAGCAGCAAGTGGATGCCTACTATGCTCGGCTAGGCTATAACCCGGCACAAGTAATGGAGCGCCTGAGTGTACATTCTGGCCGGTCATCGGCCAATGGAGATTCGCGCCGTGATGAGAGCTTTGCTAGCAACACGGAAGATGATTGTGACCCCAGCATTCTTGACCACGAGTCCTCACGGCTCGACCATGGTGAGATATTATGGTGTATGTGTATATATCTGGGAAGGCACAGCTGCTCAAAACTAAAATAGAAAATGCAAAACTGTACAAGGAGATCAAGTCGCACTGTGTAAATACAGCACTATGGTATCAGGATTCATTTGGGAAAAGTATGTCTGGTCACCAGAGACACACTTACAAAAAGGAAACAGTATGCTATGTTCGGCTTCCTATCCAAAAAAGGACCATAGTAATAACTTGAATGGAGAACAGGAATAAACGAAGAAAAAGTGTGAGAGAGATTATTTTAATGAAACTTTGCCTGTGACATTTTTTTCTTGTGACTGTGGCGAATAGAAGAATTCTTCACTGTGGAGAAGGAGGGGTGTCTGAGTAATGTCGGGCACTGGTCATCCCCGCAGCATAAATTGGGTATTCTAGGGGTGCATGGTTCGGTGTGCAGTGCTGTCCTATTGGCCGCGAGATCGAGCAGAATCGCCGCCTGGCGGCAACTGGCCGAAACAATGAAGTGTGAATTGCTCCTTGCATCGTCTGCTAGCCACGTCTTGTTTCTATGTGCGCGTACGTCATGCACGTTCTCAAAGCGTGGTTTGTCCGGTCATGTGAGCACGAGTGTAACTGTTTCTACGTATGCCTGAAACGACGTGCGAAAGCATTTGGTCTTAATCAGCTGCTAATGCATTGTAATAAGATCATCAAGGGAAATTTTTCCAGAGTGCTGTTTATTGTCGTTGTACCCTCCATTCACGAGAATAATTGCAGAGTTGGTGCCACTTTCTGTTTCAAGCACATCGCAAAAGGCTCTTCGCATACTTGGAAACATGAGGACTATTAAATGCTGTGTGATTGTAGCGCGTTATGGCGACTCTGTCGTAAAAAAAAAAAGAAAAAAGAAGAAGGGTGTTGGCCATGCACTTGCACACTGTTGTGAAGTGCACAACTACGGCACTGTAGTTTATCGATCATGCGAGGAGCCTTAGTTGTGGTTATCTGGCCAGCGTAGCACTACATAGAAATTTTACTATCACATAAATTGTGAGACTTCGGTACTTACACTGTACTTAAAACAGAGTTACCTTGCTCAACCGTCTGCTTACATTTAAGAATGCTTTAAAAAACCCAGAGGTTGAAAGTTAATTCAGACGACTTGCCTTATATATAATGTTGTATAATTTCACTGAAAGCTTTATCATTTTTACATTGTCTTCTGCGTTTGTGTGGCATTATTAGTCACCGATAGTAGGCAGTGGTCTTCTTTGTCTGAAAAAAAAAAAAAAAAAAACATGCTTGTTATATTAACCAGGCCTTTGTTGTGGCACCATCATGCACGTAATTTATCGATGAAGGCTTTTTGCTGAACTCTTGTATAATATTTTTACTGGTGCAAGAACATGTGCGAACACGTGGTAAAGGCAGAGTAACGCAACGCGCCGTCACCCGTTAAGTTTTCCTGACTAAACTTATCGACTGTGTCGCATTACATGGTGAACGGAATGTGAGAAAATAAAAGTATGCGTATAAGGTGCGAACGGCAGTATTGAACGAATCGCACAGATATTATGGCCTTTTTATGATCTTTCTTTCTTTCTTTTTTATAGTATGCAGATAACGAAAATGTAAATAAGTAGTTCAGTCAAGCTACAGCAGTAGGTAGCAAATGTAACACAAGCTAACCACGTACAAACAACACAGCAAAGGCGTGATTTAGTGCTAAAGCGTGAAGAGAGTCACCTAGGGCGAGCATCCCTACGAAAAGCAGAATGCGTTTTCTTCGCGGGTAAAGTTGACGTTACATAGGTGTCATGTACCAATTCAGTAGTGAAGAACGTACCGTATTTACTCGCATAATTCTCGCACCCCCTACATCGCCCATGAAAAATACGATTTTTTTTTTTCCTCGAGTAATTATCGCACCCCCGAAAACTGCCGCAATAATGTCGTCTGCTCATTCCAGCCACTGATGATGATAGCAGGCACCATCTCTTAAGCATCAAGCGTACTATTGCGCGAAGATTCAATCCAATCCAAGCCAAGCCGAAGTGGCCAGTGCACGTTGCGGCATGTTTTGTATGTTGTGTCGGTAATCTTGGCACGTTATAGGGCGATAATGAAGCCACACGGCTGCTTCAAGTTGCAAGTGATAGATCATGCGCTAAACAACGGCAACAGGGCCACCGGTAGGCCCTTCGGAGCCTACGAGTTTTGTGTTCGCTACTGGTGACGGCAGCTGAAAGCCACCAAGACGCGTTGGGCCTGCCGTGTGCCTAAAACTAGGATTGATGGTAAACTTTATTTCTTCAGAAGGAAACTGCGGACGATTCTGTTAAATAGCCATCAGCCCTATACTGACGTCCTACGCTTACCTTGTGAGGCCTCCTGTTGAGTGCCGACTGCTACCGCTACGCCCGCAACGCCCACAAGTTTCGCGTATGGTATTCTAATTCTCGACTATTTGCTTCCACTTTTTGTGTCTCAAGTAAATCTGGCCTTGTGTTGAACCTCTGCTTTTATTGTTGAGGTAAGTTCTACTTAGTACTTCTTAAAGCTTGCTGTAAGTTGCTGGTGTGAGAATCTTAATTTGCGGCCACTTCGTTTTCTTTTTCGCTCTCTGCATTTTCGTGGAAAGTTTTCCCCGCGTAATTCTCGCACCCCCCAACTTTGCATCAGTTTTCTGGCAAAAAAAGTGCGAGGATTATGCGAGTAAATACGGTAGATACTAACAGTAAACTATAGTCAACGCATTTTATCGGCCGACAGTCATCCCAAACCACACGCAACGAAGCACTGCTGCCTGTATTTGTATACGCTACGCCGACGACTGCTATCTATACTTGTGTGGGGCCGGTGCTGCCACCTATAGCCCGGTCTTGGCGCAAATAACTAAAGATTGACAAAAATAGTTAGTTCTGTTTCACCTAGGTACCCATGTTGCCGCTAAGCTCAACAACATGGTTTTGATTCCTGGACACAGTGGCTTCATTTCAATTAAGAGTGAAAGTGAAAGGAACTTGGGTACCGTAAAAACCCACATTTAGGTTGGACCCGCATATAGTCCGAGGTGCATTTCAGGCATAGCAAATGCTAGAAAAAAAGTTTACACCTGAATATAGGCCGAGGAAAACAGAAAAAATACATTTATTTACACTCGATTACTCCTGACGAGCTGTCATCCGAAGCTTCCGTGTTGGACATGTCCTCTCACAGGGCCTCGTCGTCAGTGCCATCCAGGAAGTTTGAGATAGGGCACTTTTTCAAGGAACAGCAAATGAGCTCCTCAGGAATGTGAACCTAGCCTCGGCGATGCACGAGCGTAGCATCGCTGACGAGGCCTGCTTCAGTCGTCCGGTAGGGGTCACTTTTGGATCTCATCTACTCCATGTACAGGCGCTTGGTGTTGTCCTTAAATGGCTTATTGATGCACACATCAAGGAGCTAAAGCTGGGATGTCATTTTTGAAAGAAATATGCTTTCTTAGTGCGCAGGGAATGTTTCAGAAAGACAGATACGACAGAGTGCAACATCAATGATCAAACTTATGCACGCCTGTCTCGAACAGGCAGGAAAGGAAAAAAGAGCCCGATGTACTTGAAATATACTACTCCAAAGGAGTGACTACTTGGGCTGGTTGGTATTGCATTTTAGAAAGAAATATATTTTCTTAGTGCGCACAGCACATTTCAGAAAGAAGACAGATAGAATAGAGCGCACATAGGACACTGTGGTCTGTCCTATCTGTCTTCTTTCTGAAACGTTTCCTGCGCACTAAGAAAGCATATTTTTTTCAAAAATGCAATACCATCCAGCCCAAGTAGCTACTCTTTTGGAATGTCATCCCTCCTGGGATAACGATGAGCTCAGTGCAGGAGTCGCATAACAATCGCTTCACTGAGTTCACCAGATGACACCAAAATGCGCCGAGCACAAGCATAGATGGGAGCTCTAACTATGCTCCAGGTCGTCAACACCACACGGACTTTTATCCAGTCAAGTACGAGCAATTCATCCATCCACCCTTTTGTCCTGGCAGTGAACGACAACATTTCTTAGGGACTCTTTCCCCTTCAACAGTGTCTTTCATTTGAACACTACTTAGGTTGGCAGCTTGCGTCTATCTGCCGTGCAGGCCAGCATTACAGTCACCCGCGCTTTCTCATTTCTAGTTGATTGCACGGTAACTTCTCTGGAGCATTCGTGAACTGTCAGAGTCAAGGGCATATCGAGGTAGACAGGTGTCTGATCAGCATTTCCAATCTGGCCCAGCTGAAAGGAGACTACCGTTTGCAAGGAAATCACGTGCTTCTGAAAGCCAACAAGCAGCTCTTCGTAGTTTTTTGGCAGCTTCTGTGATATTGACGTACGCCGACGTAGGGAGAATCCAGCGCAGCGCATAAAGCGGGACACCCAATGCTTGCTCGCCTTGAAGACTGCCTGCTTAATGCCTTGATCTCACATGACCTCCATTGCCTTTGCTTGCAGCAGCTTCATGTTGACAGCGAGCTGTGCTGCCCGTTGCTCCCAAACAAAGTTCGCCAGTTATATCTCAACGTCAGGAAATGAAATGCTCCATGTTTCGGACCCCGAAAACTTCTCCGCTGGCCGCTGCACGCAAAGAGGGCCTATTTGTGCTTCCTTCAGCCGCAAGTGCACCATTTGTTTTTGCCGAACTGTCGCCCGGCAGCACAGTTACCAATGGTTTCAGCAGCTAAGATTGCCTTCCTTTTAGAGGCAACCGAATACTGCCTTCGCAGAGCTGGCATGGCATAAAGTCACAGACTTAAAGTCGTGGCCGTTGTTACATGCGTCAAGTGGTTACAATGGCCACTGTGGCTTGCCTGTAGGACTAAAGTCACAAACGCTACAACGATACCGTATTTACTCGATTCTACCGCGCCCTCGATTGTAACGCGCACCCGATTTCCATGACGAAAAAAAAAAAGTAAGACATCGATTGCAACGCGCACCCATTTTTCTCGCTGGCCCGCACGATCACACCACTCGAAAAAAATGGCTCCTTTCAGGAGCGTTTTCTATATAAATATGAGGTACGGGGGAAGTTTGTGCCCATCTGACGTGTAACAGAGCATTGCCATCACTGTAGTTTTACCGTGGACCGATGTCAGCACGCGAACTTGCTTCGCCCCCTTCTTCTCGACGGTTGTGGTGCCAGGCATGTCGAAGTAAAGAGGCGTCTGATCGGCATTCCCGATTTGCCCAAGCAGGTAGTTGTTGTGCCGCAAGTTTAGGACCAACCTCTGAAAACTGTGAAGATTTTCATCGTACTTCTCCGCAAAACTGTTCGCATATGCCTGTTCACCTTCAGAGGGAAAAGCCTTTCCTTTTCATAAAGTTAGTTAGCCAGCACCTGCTCGCTTTAAACTGGCTCCGCATTAGACCTTTTTCTAAGGCTAATTGCATAGCCCGCACTTGGAGCAGTTTGGTCCTCACGGGACGCTGTGCCGCTCGCTGCTCAAGCACATACTCGCCGAGCAGCTCTTCAATTTGTGGAAACCGACCCTGCTGTGATTGCTGTTGACAATCTTCTGCTTTTGTTTCCGCCAGACCTGCACGCACGTTTCGGGAACTCCGAACGATCGCGATGCGGCTCGATTTCCGTCCTTTTCTGCACACGCGATGTCTTTTCTTTTAAAAGTGGCATCGTGGTGCACTCGAGTTTTTGGAGTCAGCCCTTCCATGTTGTCGATGCTAATTCACTACAAGATGACGAACTCCTCAGCACACGTACGAAGTGCCGCACATGGGAAACACATAGGCAGAAATGGCCGACGCGCCATGCCGACGCGCGTAGGGGGCGGGCGTATTCATTTTTTTCTTACTCGATTCTAACGCGCATGCGATTTATGAACTCGCTTAAGCGGAAAAAAGGTGCGCATAAGATTCGAGTAATTACGGTACTTACTGCAGAAGCGTGCAGACACTTGTTGATGATGATAGCACCACGACGTATTGCCGATATCTAAACTACGAATTCGGGCCGAAAATTCTTGGAATCGGCATGTTGTTCGGGGCAGAAATATTGCATAGTAAAATCTAAAAAAAAAAACCTTGGGCTGTACGTGGGTTTTCACAGTACTTAGATTTAGGGGTACTCTGCTAGAATCCCAGGTTATCAAAATTAATTTGTTACAAACATCACAGCATGCTTCATAATGCACCATACGAAAAATCCTTGGAATGCAGGGTGTCGCTACAAGCTCTAGTTACACTTCGTGTTTCAAGGATTTTTCATCTCTCCAAGTTTTCATGTTCGCCTAAACCTTTGCTTTATTTGGATAATCCATCATATTGTGGTTCTAGCTCTCAAAACCAGAGGGCTCAATTACAGTATGAAATTCATTTTCGCCGTTGGGTGGCATTAGCAACGGGACACTTCTCCTTCATGTTGTTCTGTGTAGCCAGTGGTAGTTTCTGGCTATGTTGAAAAGTGCTGCAGGGCCACTTAAAATTCATTTGCCCCCTTTTGCCGCATCCAGCAAGACATTGTGGTTTTATTGGCAGTGAATATTTGGGCAGTACACGATGCTATTGCGACGTTAGGCGAAGTAAACTTGTGTGGACACAGCCGAGTGCAACATTCAGTGACATAAATGTGGTGGGGGACAGTAGATTAATGTTGTGTCACAGCGCTATGCTTTTTCATGGTATTTCCGAGGGAATGCAACTGCTGTCCAATTCAGACAAGTTGATATCTGTGTTTGGTGTGTCTGGGATGAGATTTGTCTCTGCTAATGGAAGACAGGTTCCTGATCATACACCGTGTTAGAAGACTTGAAGTTAACAGTTATTTCATGAAAGAATGAAAGTAGTGTACGTCTAAGGGTATGTTTTTCTTGGCTAGGCACAATATTCATGAGCTCTAACAGACAATCATGCCAAGGAAAGTATTGGAGATGTTATTAGAAGCAATTGTAATGTAAAATTGTGAAGAAAGAAAAGTAGATCATAGTATAACTTGCCGTGGGCAGAGACCAAACTTGTAACCTTCGAATAATGCGTCCGATGCTCTACCAACTGAGGTACAACGGCGGCTATTCCCCCTTCCACTTTATTGGGTATGTAGTATGTGCATTAAGCGTGGGAGCGTAAGTCGGTGCCACCAGTAGCCGTGACGACGAGTGTGGAATACTATTTTTCTTCCTGTTTGGCGTCGCATAGAATGTGAATGTATGACAAGCAGGCAGCTAGCCAATAATCTCTTGTATACATCCTGAAGGCACTAAGTCTGCCAGAACGAGACCCGCACTATGAATGAAGGAAAGAAGTGTGCATTTAAGGGCTCGTGAAAGAATGATTCACGTAGCAACTTTGCATTTATTGGTTTTTATCATAGTACATTCGGCAATGACTGGTCACAGGTGCCTGTGACTACTGCCTTACCAGGGTGTGCCTCTCCGCCCTTGAAGATGTTCTTTTTTTTTTTTTTTTCCACATCATTGCATTTACAGTGCCTCAGCCAGAAGAGGTCAAGAAATTCTCTCGACCACATCCACTGGCTCGCTTTTGTGGCACAAATGGTTTGCTCAAGCTGATACCAACCCTAAGCAGTGGGGACCTGCCACCTCCTATTGAAATTCACAGCCTCAAGGTAGGATTCTTGTGACAGCATCTAGTCGCTCTTCAGAATTACTTAAATGGAACTTCCATTGCTTTCCTGGTAGTCTTACATATAATGTATCTATGCTTGTTATTGTGTTGTGTGCAATGTAATATATGTATTCTGTTCACTTGAGGCATGTATGTTTTAGTCCTGCCAAGTGTGAAATTCAGTCCGTTGTGGGAGTTTCAAGAAGTTAAACTATTTAGAGAAAGAGCTGAAGGCCAGGCTTGTTCGCAACGCACACTGAGAGAAAAAGAAAAGGAGAGAAGCTAGAGAGAAAAGTGGTGAACCTGCAACAAGATTATTTTTGTCTGCTCAAAATGGCGTATATAACCAGGATAAGTAAACGTAAGCACAATCAAAACGTCTCATGCACAATTGAATGGCATGCCTAGCAATGATGGCAGCATATTATCGTTATGCAACCTGACTTTTCATATAAGATGAGGGAGAGAGATAAACGGCTCATACTTTTTTTCTTGCACATGAAATATGGAATGAGCAGCCTGTCATACCATGTGTCATGCTTGCTCAATCAATTTGAAAAAAAAAAAAAAAACGGCATTTGCATTTAAAGAATCTTTTTAAAGAAATTTAGTAAAGTAGCATGTGGTTGAGCACTTGTCTTCAAACCAGTAGGGCATATTATACTATCTCTATAAAATGATTTGCCTGTTGCATATTTTGTTCTAAACTTTTCAGTTCTTGTTTGAAGTTGAATTTATATGCATGCTTCATTTTTCCATTAGCTAAGTATGATGTCTATATATGAATGCATAATAGCCTTTATAGCATATACGAATTTCGTAGGTCCAATTTGTGTAGAATAATGTGTACATTTTCAATATTGTACACAGTTTTTGCTTGCTCTGTTTTACATTTTTTAACTTAATCTGTTTGCTCAAACTGTGCACTTCATATTTATCATGTATTAATTTTGATGTATATCTTTACTTTTGAGTTCCCCACTACTTATGAAAACCAGAAATGTTTAGTAAAAATGTTGAACTAAAGATGTTTAGATGCATGTTATGTTGTTTTTTGGCTGTCAAGAATTGGGGCAAAGACCTTTGTCAAGCTGCTAGATAGCAGGTTTTTGTTCTTGTCCTCGCGTTCATAATCTTTATTTGTGGAATGCCGAATAAAATTGATTGATTGATTGATTGACATTAGCCAACAACAAATGTGCTAGTATAATTTGTGCTACGAATGTGTAGATGGTGTGTCTTGGAATTGAGCCTGTGTGCTGACTGTGATGCAGTATTGGGGCTTTTCAGATTCTGTGAACTAAAGGGACCTTTGTGTAGACGAAGTCCTTTGCTCGGCTTGTGTGCATGCTGGTTTGCGTTCCCCTTCTGTGTCTGCTGGTTCGCACCTGCACTTCTGTATGTGGAGTGAACTGTCTACTTATTGCTTTTTTCTATTGTGTTCTCTTATGCAGCACCTGTTCCAAAAGGATCCGCAATTTCACGAGTTGCAAGCATTTCCAGGGCCTTTGGTCAGGTTAGCTGCGACATTATTTTCCTCGCTGCACTCATACTTTGTGCACACATTTGAGTGGTTATTATGGATGATGCCTTGATTATCTACAAATATCTACTTCTTCATTTTTACTGCTGTGCTCTAGAAACATTTTCTTCTAAGAAAAGCAGGTGTACCAAAACTAATGCATAGTTGGCAGTTATTACAGTGGTAAATTATTTTATTTTATTTATTTATTATTTAACAATACTGTGACCCTTTGCCCAGGATTATGCAGGAAGTGGATAGTAAAGGTACACATGAGCATGGGAGTAATAGAAATGAGTTGGAGAAAAGTGGGATAAAAAAAGCTAAGTCGCAACAAAAATTTGCCAGCAAGCACTCTGGCAATCAGCATAAGAAATCAACATAAGATTCTGGTGTATTCAATCCCCTTGATAGATCCCCAGCCATAAGCAGCATTTCTATCAGCTGGGCCGAGCCTTCTGTTCCCACGTCTTAGACAGTGGCTGGCATGTTGAGCGTGTAATACATAGTAAAAATCTTTGAATTCTGTGCAATAACCAGAAACTATAAAACCGAACATCAATACAATAGTTGAACCCATCTATAACGAACTTAGAAGGGCCCCGAAAAATGGTCATTATGTCACTAGTTTGGTGTATATAAAATTGCCCTCCAAAAGGGGGGCAAATCAGCAACCAAGTAATTTTTTTTTTACTTGCAGTTTTATTAAAAAGCGACACTACCATCTCTGGTGAGATTTAAGCCTTTTTGTTTTGTTAAGGGGCACCTGCTGCGTGCCTCTGAGTGAACTAAACTGACTTTGCTATCAATTAAATTTAACTCTATCAGAAGAGTGCACAGTGCCCTTGAAGAAATTCTCCCAGATGTTTTGAAAATCTCCATTTGCCGTAATCAGCCTTTTTAAGTGCACCAAGAGTTGTGTTGCTTCTACTGGAGAAGTATGATGAAAGTCTGTGCATGGGTTCGTGGGTGTGGCGATTTTCCTGTCGGGTTTACACAGTAGGGATAAGGTTCCGGTGAATGAGGCTTACGGCACGGCTCTGCAATGTTGTGGTGGTTCGCATGACGAGGCACACCGCACTGGGGTTGCTGTCTAATGAAAGGGTGCAGTATACAGTCAAAGCCAGGTATATTGAACTCGCCAAAAAGCGTTTATTAGTTTGATATATGGCATAATTAGATATAGGCCCGCTATAGGATTTGATCACACAAAGGCACACCCAATAATAAAAGTGTCTATTCTATTAGTTATATGGTGGCTTACTTGGGTGCCCTACTTTGGAACAAAATAGTCCTGGATTTTTTTCTGTTTCAATGACTTCACTGCCTGCGGAGCAGCTGAGGCCGTAACCTTCTATGTTCACGCAATAGTGCAGGACGAACACAAGCGCACTAATCACTCCGAAGGCAACAGGCCATCGTCAATTTCCTAGTTGCAGTCGCATTGGCTCGTGGTTGGCACGACGTCTGCAGCGTAGTCGTCTTATGGCTGGCTCATGATGGCGACATCATCGTCCGCACTGACGAACTCATCGAATGTCTATCCGTCAATAGCACCCGAGAACTCTGCCAGCTCGCTCCAAACTTCGGTGAAAACACTTGCAGTGTCTTCAGTGCTGTCATCGGAATTTGGGGTGTCATCACCAGGCATGCGGAAGCCGGCATGCCTAAAGCAGTTTGGATTGTCTCCTCCGTGACATCTGCCCACGATCTACACAGCATAGAAAGAGCTCCGAGCGAGTCGGATCTTCAGCTCCCTGTCGACACCAAAGTTCTGCAGGAGCCTCTTCACCAGACACTTCCGATAGCCAGCTTTTAGTGCGCGTATGACACATTGATACAGTGGTTGTAGATCAGACGTAGTGTTTGGGGGCAAAAAAATGCAGCTCGATGTTACTGAAGGTTGTACTGCAGTGGTGCGATGGACAATTGTCCATGAGCAGGCACACCTTGCGATTTTCGCCGACCAAATCATCATTCCACGACGATAGCCACCTGCTGAAAAGTTCCCCGTTTATCCACGCTTTTGAGTTTGCTTGGTAGGTAAGTGGAAGAGGCAGCGCATTTCAAAAATGCCGCGGGGCTGTGCTTTCCCGATGACTTGAGGTCAAAGCTTTTTCGATCCGTCTGTACAACAGCTCGGACACATGGGCTTTGTCTGCCTTGCCACTGCAAATCTTGTCGCCCCGACATACGAGGTGTCTTGTTTGGCAACATTTGCCAAAATAGAGTGGTTTCATTCGCATTGAAGATATCTTGGGCTCTATATTTTGCTGTGATGTCTCGCCAGTTTTCCTCGAGCCATTTGTCTACACTGTCCAGGTCCACTTCTCTGCTTTCACCCGTAACTGCTTTGCCAACGATGTGCCGTTCTTTGCACTGTTGGAGCTATCCGGAACCGCCTTGGAAATCATCCCTGCCAAGCAAGAAAGGAAGGTCTTTGGCTTTCTGCTCAATCATGGGGCCGGATATCGGTATGTTTTGCGACCGAACATCCACAAACCACTTGTAAACGGCGGCTTCAAGATCTTCGTACACAGCAGCGCGCACACATCGGGTGCCACGGGCACCTGGCCTTTTGTCCGACTTGGCCCTGATGGCTGCCTTGTTCTACTGGATAGTACTCAAGGTGCTCCTTGGAATCTTGTACGCGGCAATGATTTCGGACTTCTTCTCAATGTGCTTGACCTGATTTACGATTTCGAGTTTCGCGGCAAATGGGAAATTCTGCCTCTTTGCACAAGCCATGACAACAGCGCGCCAAGAAAGTTCACAGAGCACCAACAGGTAACACCATGAGCATCGACCATGCTGGATAAGGACTCGAGGGGAAGAGGCAGCCGCAGGCACACAAACATAAAGAAAGAAAAAATGGCGCTCACTTGTACTGCATTTGCGCCTTGGAGAGAGCATGATGGCCTCTGATTGGCTGTAAGCGCTGAGAGCGGGCCAGGATCATTTTTTGCAGGGGGGTGTTCACCCGTGCACAGCCGGGTCGAAACCTCTTTTTCAAGGGTGGTTACATTCAAATTAGGCATTGATTGATGATTACATTATAATTAGGCATTGAAACACATTACAATTAGGCATTAAAACACATTACAATTAGGCATTGATGTTATCTCATTTAAATTTTTTTTAAAGCGTTTTTAAACCCTAACTGCACGCAATGGACAGAAAGCTGAGGTGTAAGGTCCACAAGTTTATCAGCCATATACTGGTAATCAGACCTCTTAAAGAAATTCTGAATTGTAGACTTGTGTGAATATTTGAATGCTTCGAATATTCAAACGAATAGTTGAGTATTCGAATTCGCTTGGATTCGAATTAAAATTATCGAGTATTTTCGAAGTATTCGCAATGAACAAATAGGTGTATATTAATCCGCTTGTCACCTGTAAAGATGGTTTCGCTGCAATGTAGAAGTGCTAAACCGTAAAAGCACATATTCGAAAGAAGTTTGTTTTGCTGCGAAACCCCTCTTCAAATTTAAAGGGGCCCTGCAACACTTACGGAACATGTTCAGAAAACGCTGCCGATCGGTAGTAAAGGCTACCGAGAACACGCAAGGCAAATATTGTAGCGCAGCACGCGGCCTGTAATTAATAATAAATTTTGAAAGGTAAAAATTGCTTACTTCCTTTGGCAAATGACACTACAAGCTCAAAAACTACTTGTCAGAGCCAAGAAGTGAATATACGGCTCTGGTCACAGCCATTGGCTAATTTGAGCATGGCGCGCTTGTTGTTACCGGGGCCGCTGCGGGAGGCCGCCTCTTGTCCTCGAGTACGAGCGTGATCGCACTGAAAAGCCGTGAAAAGAGGTGCTCAAGGTCACCAGGTGCATGTGACGTATTTTCTTTCGCCGTGCCATTCCTCCCTGCTTAAGTCCCAGCTATTTCATCAGGATGAGAAGAGAGAATGCAATTGCAGCGTGCGACAAATTTTTAGAACTCCGCTGGTACTGGACTGATTCTAGAAATTTTGCGCTGGTAATTTTTTGAAGGAACAAGCATGTTCACTTGCTCCATGGCTACTTGAAAAAGCATTGCAGGGCCCTTTTAAAGGAACATGTCACCCTCAAATCAATTATTCATTTTATTAAGCTTGTCATCACGACTTACATGCTCCAAGTATAATAAATTTTGAAATGTTAAGTATCTTGCAGGTTATCACTCATATGCTACCGAAACTACTACTCAAGGTTGTTTCTACTTCCTTTGAACGAAAAAAAAAAAAATGGTATTTGCATAGAGCACCTATTTCAATTCAAAAAAATATTGTGCAGGTTAGTTAGGTCATGATAAATATTCCTTTTTTTTTATATGTCATACATACCAGTCGAATTCGATTCGAAAATATTAGATTAAAATCACTATTCGCTTCGAATTCACTTCGAACCTAAAATGCACTATTCGCACAAGCCTAGTGAATCGCCAACTGCTTCTTCGCTACGTGTGCCTTTCGCACAAAGCTCTCTATACCAGTTGAGAAGCATGAAAGTTTACCATGCGTGTGCTTCGTTTCAAAGATTTGTTTTCTAGCAAAGCCTTTTTTCTTGAAGACCTCAGATGCTTATTTTTCATTGTTAGACTGTTAAAGTTATGCAAGCACCTAAATTTTCAAATAGTAGAGGGAAAGCAGCAGATATTTTTTGGTATGGAACTACAAAAAGTACGATTTAACCGTATCTTGGAGTTTGAATTAAGAGGCTTTTAGATACATTAAAATAATAGAGGGCCAACCAATCTAATTTTGTTTGAATTAACAGAAAGCCTGAATCATCAGAGTTTGAATTATCGAAACACTACTGTAGTGCAAATTTAGACAGCCGCGACCTCGCGACACACAAGAAGCAGACGACAATATCCCAAAGGCGTACTCAGAATTAGCGTCAGACTAGCGATTCGTACTGGAGCATTACGGAAGAAGTGGCCGATTGGAGTCCTCCAAATGAATTTCAAATGTGTGCTTTTTTAACACGAAATTCTCATTACAAAATACTTTTACGGTGAGCCCAAACTTGTGGTGGGCCATCGTGAAGCCATAAATTTTTGGAAAATGCCATTTCTTTTCTTTCTTTTTATGACTTCTACAATGATTTTCACCACCTTGGCCGGTGCAAAAACCTTTTTACAGCACCTGTACGTAGTTATGATGGAAGTGGAAATGTTGATGGCCCGTGTGCTCAGATTTGGGTGCACGTTAAAGAACCCCAGGTGGTCGAAATTTCCGGAGCCCTCCACTACGGCGTCTCTAATAATCATATGGTGGTTTTGGGGCGTTAAACCACACATATCAAATCAAATCATCTACGTAGTTTTGAGCGAAGATATTTTCGAGTCAGATAGTAAAAAGGCTACAAACACTGAAGAATGATTTTCAAAAAATCAACTTTTTTATGCCCCATTGAAAATAAATTTGTATAGGACTCGTGATTTTCTCCATTTAAAACAGACCGATTCAGTGTTTCCGTAAGAGGCTGTTGTAACAGTACTTGAATTTTACATACTCTTTTACAACTGACCAAAGTCCTCTTCACTGTGGATGTCTATCGTAATAAGGCTATGCTCCTGTGTATCCAGAGGTATCTTCAATAGGTAGCAGTGATAATTTGTTTGTGCACTGAAATACGGTCATTATAACTGATGAATTGTTATATCTGGGATTGTTGTTAGGTGGGTTCGACTAAATGAAAATATGGTTCATTATTACCCTACATACACTGTGATGTGGCCTTCTGAAGAATACAAAGCCTGAAAGACAAATCTTGGAATGCAAAGCTCATAGTTTTGAGCACACATGTAAAGCTAATGGGGTCGATGCTGAATTCAAAGAAAGCTTTTTTGACTTGCACCCCCAATTAGAAGTACCTCTGTTGGTTGTATGATATAGTTCTGTCTTTGTGGAAGGCCTCGTGTCCACCATTACTCTTGCCTCAGGCAGCGAAAGGGAGACAAGGCACACAAATTTTATGGGCCATGAAGTATGAATGGCTGACAGCGGCTGGTCTTAGTACTGATGAGATGTAGTACGTACTGCGCATGCTAACCAATAGTAGAACATCAAAGAGGAGAGGGACTACTCACTGGCCTTTTTTTTTTTATAAGGGCAAAACATGTCTAGTGCTAGTGGATCGCAAAGGGTAATTTGTGAAACAATATTTCAATTAACGTGTGAGAATTCTGTGCTTGCTGCTAGCCGTCCTTGAAATAAAATTGCCTGGTGAGGAGTCAGTGTTTCTTAAAGGCATCATTCTTTTGACAAAACAAGCAGTGCTATAGGGAAACTGCAGAAACGTCATCTCATCACACCCTCTAACGCAGGTCTGAGACTCACAAGAACGACGTGATCCAATTCTGCACTCAGAGGATCCAGTCATTTGCCGATGACCCCAGCTTGCCTGACCGGTCGTCACACATCCTCCTTTGGGAGCTGCTTGTGCTCATGCTCAGGCAAAACGGGGTATGCATCACTTGCTGCCACTCAATTGGGGCATTCCTCTATCAGGTCCCCAGTGTGAACAGTTCATATCCGTTTTTATGCTTTTTTTGCTGTTATGTTCTACTCTAAAAGCATACTATAGATCTTTAGTGCATAAGAAATTTTTCATATTGAATGCAAACGGAATGTTCTCAAAAGTGAATTGAATCAAATTGAATATTGAATACTTTTGGAATAGATGTTGAATGTGGGGCAGCCATTCTGAGATTTCATAAAATGAAGTTCACATCCTAGTATTCAAAATACTATGATGGTTGAAATACTAGTATTAAAAATTCTTTTTCACAAATATCCTGTCTTGTAAATATTTGTTGCCAGCTGTATGCCTGTCGCCTGCAATGGTTTGATAGTTTCTAAGTTGTGCTCAGATGGTCCAAGTGGTAGCTGTGCCAGTAACCAGTAATGTCTGCTGCTCTGGTCTTGAATCACATCAAGCAGTCGAAAGTAATCCAGTGGCTCTGCAGTTTGTCTCAGGTTCGGACATTGCGGATTTGCTTCTTCGTGGCCACGAGATCCTGGAACCGTCGACGTCTGCGTCAGCGCTTGCGAGTCGACCTGCAGGAGAGGGAGGCGAAGCGGCCTCACTTGAGGGGGCCGATGATGGCAGCAGCCCGTCACCTGATGAGGGCATTGTGGTGTCCGATCGTGCCCAGCTTGGAAGCACGGGCTCGAGTCGTGTGCTGGCGAAATTCCGAGAGTTCCTCCTCTTTGGGCATAAAAAGGTGAGACTCCCCTCATTTTCATATCTGCGTCATATGTATGAACGGCTTTATTTATTTATTTATTTATGTACATACTTTTTTATTCTTCATACCCTCAAGGCCCCCGAAGCAAATTGATCTTCAAGCATTGTCAGACAAGGTTATAACAAAAAACAAAGAAATCGAGCTAACTGCACAAATCAAACACTATGCAAAATTTATTTAGCAAGTGAAAATTAGAGTAGAGGTGAGAAAATTGGCTATGAAAACGTAAGGGCACTAATGAATGCAGTACACAAGTAAAAAGTAAAATGAAAACTTGTTCGAAAGTTACTCAAGTTACTCAAGGTGAATAAATAATAGGAGTAAGCCTGTACAATGTTCATGTAAATCATAAAAAGTGAATTACCACAGCAGGAAACATACACAAAACAACCTATAAAGAAATGTTGAAAGAGCATGTGATGGATATTTACTCAGAAATGTCGCATAACCGTTCCTGAAACAATGTGAAATTAGGTTGAGTGGCAATGTAGGATGGCAGGTTATTCTGGATAACTATTGTGTGGCGAATGAAAGAGTTAGCATAAAGAGCTGAACAGCTACTCATACGTTTTGTCTTGAAGATGCGGTCTCTGCGTGGTAAGATAACTGTTGCTGTTTTGAAGATGCGGTGAAGGTATGGTTGATAAAGTTTGTGAAGTACAGTGGACTCTCAGTAAACGGAAATATGTTAAATGAAACTGCGGGCGAGATTGCTGGCAAGAACGACGCGCTAGCACACTCGTGGCGACATGCTTCTTTGCAAGCAACAAAGCTGTAAGCGGATTCACGATCAGATGATTACGAGCAGGCGTGCGGTCTACGAGTGCGGCGCGTCATCGGAGTTGTCTTTAGGCCAAACTCCGCTAACAGCGAGACAAACTTTGCGGGCAAGAATGCCGCACTAGAGCAATCGTGGCAAGATGCTTCTTTGCAAGCAATGCAGCACATCACTCGCTAGCTCCTCAAAACCGCGGACAGGCATTTTACGCATCGGCAGCAGACCCCACTGTCAAGCTCATCAGTCCTCCTCCCCCCCCCCCCCCCCCCCATTCACTTCCAAGGATTGCTCGGAACAGCGGCTAGCAGTTTCGCCCATCGGCATTCGAAAATGCAATAACAAGCGCAATGCGCACAAGTTTTTTGTCATCGTAGGTGCACATTTCCCCATCATCACCGAATGCCGCCGGCAGGTGCATCACGCTGCCGGGTGCACTGTCCACGCGGTCGCATACCTCACGGTCATGTGGACGGCTCTGAATAAGCTTTTGTTATGCAATTTAGACGTGCTTGGAGCCTTGCTTGGTATCACCACTAGCGTCTATGAATGTTCTGAGACAATGAAAGTCTCGTAGATTAGTGTTTCCGTGACTGGCCGTATGATGATGCATTTCATGGCTAGAGGGGCAAAAGAGCATGTATGAAGCAGGGGCACGAGTTTTTGTATGCCCGACTCGCGTTATTCAATAAACTGTTAAAAAATTTTTGTGCCACCAGTTTTCTGCCCATAACTGTTAGTCATTTGGAAAGAAGGCATAGGCTGTCATGGTGTGAGTGATTTTTTTTATGCAATAAACTTCTTTCTATAAACAAACGTTCAGTGATTATTTCCAATTAAGAAGCACCTAATAATGCTAATGAGAGCTTGAAAACACAAAAAAATGTCTAATCATTTCAGTATATGGGCTTATTCAATTACCTTCTATTCTGTCATGCCTACCATCACATCATTCCTTCATTCAGAGAACTTGCTTTGAAATCCATTCTAGTCTTTTGTAGATAAAAAAGAAAGGGTCATGAAAAAAAAAATGGGCAACAAAGGCACACGGGCAGAGGCCAGGTGCCTGAGAAGTCAAATATCACAAGACAAACCTAAGATCACATTTTTTAGGTGTTTTAGAGATGTGAAGAGAAGGTGAAACTTCACCAACGCAGTTTTCTCAATACTGTTTTTTTTTTTGGCATTATGCTCAGTTCGTGGAGCAGATATCTCAGCAACCACTGCACAGATTTTGATTCCGTTTGTCTTGTAACGCTCCTTGAACTGTGCTTCAGGGGGCTGCGGTCTTAGTTTTTCATTTTACTTCCTAAAGAATTTTTCGTAGTGTTTATTGTTTGTAGTGCAAGTGTGCTTATTGCAGTGGCACTGGCGAAAATGTTAACTACAAAATTTAGTGTTGCAAAAAAAAATTACTTTGAAAACGCAGCCCCCCTCGGCATATACATTTGGCTTTGCGTTCAGTAATTACCAACTATTTTTGTCATTTTATGAATCCGCCTGCCCCTCCACGAGGTTCAATGAAGAAATAATTTGTATCTCATTAAGTTTTTGTGTTATTGCCTCGAAATTTTTATTAAAGCACTGTAATGCTATTTTCGGCATCTGTGCCAATTTTCATCAACATGCAACAAGAAACAAGAAAGTTCGTTTAGAAAGGCAAGTCCCCCCTTAAAAGGAACAACTGCTTCTGATATGATTGGTTTCATACTTGAACGCTGCAACCTTGTTCATCTCTCGGTAAACGGAACTCCTGTTGAATGAAACACATTTTCTCAGTCCCTTCTGGTTCTGTTTAATGAGAGCATACTGTATCGAATGGTGGGCAGTTCTGCCACGATGAGATCATTCGTCAATCTTTGCACGAGCTTTTAGTGCCTAAATGCTTGGGTAAGGTGAATAATAAGAAAAGGCGAAATATAATGCACAATTTCGTTCAATGCTGATGCATGTGAAGCCTTTTTACGCATTCTCTGGAGTGATCTTCTGTCATCCAGTAGTGAAGTACAGTGGACTCTCAGTAAATGGAAATTTGTTAAACGTAATTGCTGCCTAAATGGGACAAATGTCTTTGATATGATTGGTTTAGTACTTGTATTTTGCACCCAGTTCATCTCTGACAGGAGAGCCGCAAGCTGAGGCTTGAGCTAGGGGCATTTGCCATCAGGGTTAGTAGAGGTGTAAAGTGGCTTGGTATTTAAGTTAAATTTCAAAAATACCTTATCATTGTGTGTTTTCATTTGAGCTTTTCAATATTCCTAAATGAGGGCATTAAGGCCATGTCACACATGTCAAAGGCACTTTGTTATCCGTCTCCAGTTGTATTGTCTCACGCTTTTGTGCTCGTTTGACTCAGCCCAAAAAGGGATATTTCTCAGCCAATATTAACCAAACACGTGGATTTTATCTGGAAAAAAATTTCTTTGTGTTTGTACATAGTGAGTGCAGCAAGATTGCATTGTGAAATTGCAGGTTGATGCGAAATTATACTCGGTCTTTTTGCTTTAGTTAAAATCTCAAAGGACTGGCACAATATTGAAACATGATTAAGATAAGGCAGGAAAGTTGCGCTGATGTTTTTCTAACCAGGCTGTTTCTTTTTAGCTGCTGACAAATGGTGCAAGCTGTCCATGTTGACACAGCAGCATTATGCTGAAACAATCATATAGCTATGATTTTGTTCTGGACAAGCTGGACAGTGATTTCAAGGGTTACGGTATAATTTCAATTAAAATTGCATAGGAATAGAAGAAATGTTTGGATTGACTATTGAATTAACAATTGTATCAAAAGAGCAGAATGAATACGTAAGTAGGGTTGCCAAGTCTAAAAGATAAATATAGCCATAAAATTGACAGAACTTGCCAAAAGGTAGCCAACTTCAGCCAGGGGTAGTAAAACTAGCCAAAAGTAGCCATGTTTGTGTTAAAACTGCATCATTTTTTTATTTAACTAAGTAAACAGTCTACTGGTGAGAATTGAAAAGAGTGCAATATATAAGCCCTACAGAATGAAAATATTGGAAATTGAAGCATAGATTTCTGACTTGACGATCATTTCAGTCAGGGTGACGAAGTTTGCTGCACTTTTGTGAAAATAACGACTCTTTTCACACATAGTTAACTCTTTATGAAAGGACCAAAAGGAACACTCGTGGGGACAATTGAAATGAGAGCACGAATGTGCTGAATTATTATCAGTTTCTGGGGTGGAGGCACAAAATGTAGCTTTGCAATTATTTCTCGATTGTCGACATAACATATGAGATAAGAAGTTTATGGGATATTCGGTTTACAATGCTAGTGACTATACAGAACCCTGGATGCAATCGTTCCACGATTCGATCATTCCGTTGTCCTGCTCACGCCCAGTTACCATGTAAAACGTGTTCAGCAATAGGTGGCCAGTAAAATCAGGTTCCACGCAACAGTTTTCTATGCCTGCCTGCCAGGTATTCAAAAGGCTTCTTTTGTGCGTATATTATAATTGCCAATATAAACTTTTTGGAGCCGGAAACATGCGTGGGCCAGCATGGTCTGAAAACGCATACTCAAGCATTAATGGCTGCAACGTCACCAGATATCGATAGTTTCGTTCAAGTCGAGTATAGGAAAGGAGCCTAAATGTAGCCAAGTAGCCAAAATGCTTTTATCTGCCGCAACAAGCTCGGAAAAGCAGCTAAATTGGTGCAAAGTAGCCAAACCTGGCAACTCTGTGGATAAGCATCGGTGCACTTTTTTGGCCATTATTTCAGGAGAGGAAAATGCAAAGACAACTCTCTATATAAAAAATTTTGCTAAAGGGATAAGGTTTTAGTTTATTCATGTTCTAAGTAACGAGATTTTATCATACTCAGATTTAAGCTCACATTAAAGAATGCCACATGGTGAAGATTAATCCAGAGCCCACCATTACCTTTCTCGTGACCTGTGTGTCATTCTGAAAGGTTAAACATCGCGAATCAAACAACGCAATTTTTCATTTGCTTCATGATTACTGTGCTCGTTTGTTGGAATTTTTTTGTAGCTCCATTTGATTTGCATAGGAGCATTGAAACGAACAAGGGATGACCTTCTGTTTTCTCTTTCTTTCAAAAAAAAAAAAAAAAAAGGATGCGCTGGAGTGGGCAGTGAAGTGTGGCCTGTGGGGCCACGCCCTGTCTCTAGCCTCGAAGATGGATGCCAGGACATATGCGGGCATCATGACTCGTTTCACGAATGCCCTGGCCATCAATGACCCTTTGCAGACCCTGTATCAACACCTGTCTGGTCGGCAACCTGCTGCAGTCACTGTGAGTAGCAAGCACTTTCTATGGACTGTGACTGCGTCTTTGTGTTTTGTGTGGAAACCTACACTGTTTTTCATAGCTTACAAGAGGATAGCTTTATCTTGCAAAGGTAATGAGCGGCACAGCAGCTCCTCAAGATTTGTGTTTGTTTCCGTTAAAGTTAAATAACAGTTAAATAACATTTGAGTTAAATAACATTTACCTTACAAAAAAAGCTTATATAAAGGCTCGCAAAATAAGGTTGTTTCTCATGGTGATAGCAGTCTCTGTTTGTCAAAGACAAATCAATTTACTAAGGGTGTGAAAATATTCAAGGTTTTGAATAGAAATCGAATAGTAGTCCTTGGTATTTGAATTTTCAGTTGTCACATATAGCCAATCTTTGATTTTTGTGGCATTGGATGTAGTTATTTTCAGGTAAATAATATAAATCGCTCCCTTTTTTTTTTTCCATAAAAAGCTCAACGCTATGTTTAAGTTTTACGTTGTTAGAAATTTAAAATATTTTGTGTTTGATTTTATATATGAAAGCAACTTTTTTTTTCTGAAAACTTATATTTGGTTCATTTAAAAAATCTTGGTTTCTGTTTAGACAACCCTATTGTTTACTTTTTACTCTTATGTGGGCAGCAATTAATACACCGAGGTTTAAATGCACGAAAAGAAAAAGTGCTACCCTTACACTAAAATAGATAGTGCGCACCTGGTCAAGAATAAAAAAAAAAAACATTTGTTAAACCTTTCTTGAATGCATTCTAATTTGTGTGCAATAAATTGTCTTAGTGTGGCAGGGATACTTTTACTTTTGAAGTATCTCTCCCGAGTGTTAGTATTATATTCAAGCCGGGAGTTCTCTACTTTTTCTTCGGGATATGGGTGCATTTTATTTGCATACCGTTCCTGGAGGCTTTCTTTTTTTGTTTGTTTGAAAGTGTACGCATGTCTGTGTGCAGTGCATAGCGGATGAAAAGTGGGGTGACTGGAGGCCCCACTTGGCCATGATCCTGTCCAACCCATCATCACGGCCAGAAGTGGATGCGCGGAGCATCACCACTCTGGGTGATGTGCTTGGTGAGTGTGAATGATGTTCAAGGGGGGAACTTGACAACTTCCTTTATTCATGCAATTTTGCAAGGATAGGGCAAGCAAGTCAATAACTTTTGAAAAGCATTTTTTTTTTCCATAAGCAGGCTGTCTTTTGAAAAACATTGTAGCCATTTGGGCTAGTTGGTAGCGATTCATTTTAAATTCAAAAAATGGTACCGAACAGGTCTCTATAGTCCCTCTCTTCTATACTTCCTGTTCTGTACTGTTTTGTATTGGCGCTCATGCGAAGCATGTAGGCCAATATTGGATGGACTATGTGTAATTTGTCATCGCAGCAGAGGATGCTGCGATGACATAGTGGTTAGAACATCAGCCTCGCAGGCAAAAGGTCCGTGGTTCGAATCCCGGTACCGCGCAGCTCCCAACCGGATTTTGAAAAAATCCGTGTGGCGATGAAACTGCATTAAGAGGCCTGGGGTGCGGCCTCACCGATGACCATGCACCGCCAAGAACGCACTCCCTCACCAGAGAATGATTGACCACCCTGGTGCAGTATCTGGCCACTATCTCCCACATGCATATGTTAATTACCGAGTTGACTGGCGGAACATGGGAGAGGCCTTTGTCCTGCAATGTACGTAGTCAGGCTGATGATGATGATGACGTGTAATTTGTAACTAGCGACTATGGTAAAACCTTGATTAATTACCAAACCTTGATTCACAGCAATCTGCGATGTGATGAAATCTGTGCATAGTAGCAGATAGTGGCACAGATGCAAACACTGGCATCGCAGAAAGCAGAGTTCGCTTTGTCACTGTGTCGGGACATTGCATATCCTGGACACTGTGAAAATTTAAAAATGCTCCTTGGTGTCACTGCAGTTATGTGAGAGGCCATAGAATTTTCTCCAAATTTTGGCAAAAAGAAAAGAAAATGCTTGGTGGTGGCCACTCCAAAGAGTATTGCCTAAAGTAACCACCAAATGCTTTAGGCAATATGCTGCATCACTGTATTTATTGCATTGTTGGCAGCAGTGCATACATCGGGAGGTGTAAATTGGTACTTGGTGGTTAATGCATACTACGCTTTGGCATGTTGTTATGCTGCATTCCTGACAAGTGCATATTGATGAGATTTCACAGTACTATGTATCTAGGGGATTGAACACCCTAACGGTTACTTCTCGAAGCTGTTACACATGGAAATAATATGCTAAAAAAAATGTCTCATCACAGAAGTGTGCAAGCACCCTAGGGTGGCAGATTTAGGATGAATACAGATACAACGACCAGTCTGTATAAATGGAGTTCTTGTGTTTTACAGCCACAGTCTAAGTATGTTTAAGTGCAGCTCTCCCTCCTTACAAGTGAGTCTAGAAAGTCCACTGTCTGCAGTTACGTGCATTGAATACTTGGCCTGGTGAAGCTTTTCACTCTGCACAGTTCTATAAGTAGGTGCCTGCAGTGATGTGTTTGCCGAGAAAGTTGTGTGCCTGAATCATTCCTTGACTGTCACGATGTGTGTTTCAGTAACACAAATCGCTTGTCTAGTTCGTATAGCATTCTAACAAAGTCAAATTCGTGCCTCGTGTTTGTGTCCGTCTTCATTTGTGCTAATTTGACTTTGCTAAACTGACATAGGTATGCTGTGGACACAGCCTGAGGAGTGCAGTGAATGAATGGTCAGTGCTTTTTTTCCTCTACCTCTGAATGCAGCAAGTCGGGGTTGCCTGTCAGCAGCCCACTTCTGCTACCTGATGGCCCAGGTGGAGTTTGGCACGTACGCCTGCAAGTCCAGCAAGATGGTTCTGCTGGGATCCAACCACCACACGTGCGTGAATCTTGGGTCTACGCTGTAGCTACAGTGTTGTTGGGCCTGTTTCCCATTTTCTAATGGCTAACTTTTAGGGGTTGGAAAATATTTGAGCGCATTGTATGTTCAAATTAATATTTCACTCTTTGAATTTGCTTTGACACGAATTCAAATTGTTCGAAATTTTGAAGCAATTGAAATGAACGAATAGACGTACGTTTGACCTCATGTAACCTACCTGTAAAGCTGGTTTCACTAAAGTGTAGGGTTGCTATGCTGTGGTACCACCTGTCTTTGGGAAATTTGCACTGCTGCGAAATTGTGCAGGGGTGCAACAGCTGTGCCAATTGCACCGATTTGATGCAATTCCCTACCTTTGTGCCGAGCTGCGCCAAAACCATGAAATCTGAAATTGTGCCACGCTGCTTCAAAATGCCCGACCAGCCTCAAACTTTTCTTCAGTTGCGCTAATTTCATCGAGCAATGGAGGCCATGTCGCCCACCTGCAGTTTGAGTCATCAATCAATCCAAGCGTGCTGAGTCTAACCTTAAACCTCGATAACCTAACCACGCTAATCTTAATCCCAATAGTTCAGAGAACTCGCAAGAAGCGATCGACCAGATAAAGTAACAAAGCCATGTGCCCATCGATCCACTGATCGCAACAGATACCTATCGGTGGGACGATGCAACTTCAAGACAAAAATGCGTTGCCGTAGCCACGAACGCTTCGCCGGAAGTATGAACTTCTTGGTTAGCAAAAGTGGCTATGGCATGTTAGCAACTAGAGCTGGGAGCGCATACCGCGTTTTCTGTGAGTGAACAGAGTCGACATGCTGTGAATGCCGGCATAGCTGGTGACCACGTTGGTCGCCATAGCAACAGCACATAAAACATTTTTCTATCTTCAAGTTGCGTTAGTTGCGTCGTCCCGACTATAGACGGTTTCAAGATTGCAAGAGTTGTACCCAAAAAAACTTCAGGTCACCTTATTTACCAGCTCCTAATGTTGAAACTGACAGCACGTTTTCAAGTTGTTTTTTCGAGGATACGGAAAGTCTTTCTCTAGTTTTTCAAATAAAAGGAATGTGCGTACAGTCTAAGGGAATCTCTTACAGCTATGCAGCTCAAAAGAACATTTACAGCAGACTCTCGATAATTGAAACTCTGATAATTCATACTTTCATTCAATTCAAACAAAATTAAATTTTTTGGTTGGCCCTGTATTCTTTCAATGTATTCAAAAGCCTCTTAATTCAAACTCTAACATTTGGTCAATTCATACTTTTTGCAGTTTTATGCAAGAAAATATCTGCTGCTTTCCTACTACTATTTTAAAATTTGCATGCCTATATAATTTTAACAGTATAAAAATGAAAAAAAAGGAAAGAAAAGATTTACTAATAAACAAATGTTTGAAACAAAGCACATGCATGGTAAACCATGATGCTTCTCAACTGGTATAAAGAGCTTTGTGCTGAAGGCACATACCTATAGGAAAGAAACAGTTGGCAGTTCATTAAAGGTCTCATCAACGGTAAATGGCCTATAAACTTTTGGACCTTACTCCTCTGCTTTCTGTTCATTGCGTGCAGTTTGGGTTTAAAAACACTTGAAAAATTTTTAAATGTAATAAAATCAATGCCCAATCATAATGTGTGGTGTCATCTTACCCAGAGTCATGTCTCAGAACTTCTGTTAATTCAAACTTCTTGATAATTCGAACAAATTTCAGAGGTTCCTTCAAGTTTGATTTAACGAAAGTCGACTGTACTTGAAAATAGTTTGCCAAATAAGGGAATGAAACTGTAGAAAATCAGCTGGCTATTTTCTAAAGCTCTTCTTGCTCACCAATGCTATTAAGGCACATCCGTGGATGAAATCGAATGTCATCAAGGGTCTGTGTTTGTAAACAGTGAAAGGGTCTATAGAGTTTCCTAAATACACACTAGAGGAAACTCTGGTGCTAGTGACTACGGGAGCTGTTATGCACGGCGCTTCAGAGAGCGTGGTAATGATGGGTAGTACACAGATCTGTTTAATCTTCATACTTCTGGCGCCGTGCGTGTTGGTATGGCTTGAAGCTGTTTTCTCACAAAATAAAAATCGGCACATGTTCAGCGGTTGCGCTTCACCACCTTATTCTTCTAGGCTTACCATTTCAAATCGGGTCACGAAGTTCAAAAGGCTTCGTTCTTTCCTTTGAAACAAAACTTAAACACAGCAATAAACGAGCCCACAAGTGCGATTCGCCGCCCGCAAGTACGAAGACTAGGCAAATTCATGCTCTACCCATCATTCCCATGGTTGCTGAACGATCGCAGTGCCAGTCTCTCCTATAGTTAGTTTTAGGAAACTCTATAGTCCCAGCAATAGATATCTAGTGCTGTAGTTAATTTTAGGAAACTCGATGGTCCTGGCGATAAGTATCTAATGCTGCCGCTGGACCAATGGGCGTGCGCTGCTGTCACTTTGTCTGACAGAACACACTTTGCAAGCGAGCCAAGATGTTTTGCCCTAAACCTAACCCTCATCATAACAAAAAAAAAGAGGGGGGAGTTCAGCAATGTTTGAAAATTTCTTGGCCTTGCTCTAACCCGTGCAGAATGCTGCTTCAACCACCTTTGCCGCAATACACCTGTGCCTTGCAAAAAAGCGTAATATGATTTGGAAGGGGTTGTTAGCACTACTCACAGGATGGCAAGTTTAGTTCAATTGCTCGTGCGTCTACACTACCACATAATTGTGAGCACTAGTATGATCGCTGACGTCTGAGTGTGTGTGTGTGTGTGTGTGTGTGTGTGTGTGTGTGTGTGTGTGTGTGTGTGTGTGTGTGTGTGTGTGTGTGTGTGTGTGTGTGTGTGTGTGTGTGTGTGTGTGTGTGTGTGTGTGTGTGTGTGTGTGTGTGTGTGTGTGTGTGTGTGTGTTTTTTTTTTTTTTGGCACCCCTATTCCTTAGTTTCACGAACCCCTTCAATTTCAAGTTCGCCGGCTAGGCAGATCTACATAAGATTTACATATCGATTCACGGATTCTGTCAAAGGATTTGACAGACGCTGCAAGGGCTAATGTGGACTTTATTATTTTTTGTTTAGTGGGATAGATCGAAATACTAGTTTTATTGAAACAGCAGTGCTCATGTTTACTCTGCATGATTTAGGTGATGTTGAATGGCTTGAACATACTTTTTTTTCTAGGTGTAAGCCTTCATTGCTCCAAATTTGGTCTTTTGTGATAAAAAATTGATGTTTTACTTCCCGAACCTGCTCCGAATTCTCATTTTCGTGCTCCAAAAGCAAGATTCTGTTGCTCTGAAAATTGCTCCAATTTGTATTTTAGCTGTTGCACCCCTGATTGTGGATTGACAGATCACTTGTCGTGGGCCTATATGTGCCAAGCATAGCATATTTTAAAATGTAGCATAATTGAAAGCTTTTAAATTGTGCCCTATAACTACCCAAATCCTGCCACTAGACAAATTTGCTTCCATTTCAGACCAATGAAAGCGACATTCGTGCATACCTTGTTCCACCTAATAATATGCAAGTCAGTTGGGTCATTACAAAAATGCTCATTGTTTTTAATATATGTAACATATATATTATTTGAACTATCCGATTCGAAATTACTCGACAAAATTACTGTTCACTCTTCCCTAATAAATCTCCTGTGCTTGAGGTTAAATATGTGTTGTGTAAAACAAAATGCCATGTTTATTTCTCGGAGTAATTTTTTTATGCACGTTTTTCCTAGAGAGGAACAGAAAGAAAAAAAGCTGAAGTTACTGTTCATTTTAGTATTGAAAATCTCAAGCTGCACCAGCTTTGGCTTCTCAACGGCACTGAAGGGGCTTCACAACACTTCCAAGAAAGCGTGTTGGGCAGCACCTGAAACTCGCCAAGCAGCACTTTCAGATTCAGAATAATTTATTTCACATCAAACAAAGGAACAAATACCCCATAAGAATATACAGAAGGAGGTCCCTTAGTTAAAAACTAAAATTGAATGTCCTGCGCATCATAACATCGTGAATAATAATACTCAAAATGGCTATTCGCGGCAAGATGGGGCTATAGGTGGCAGCACCCTCCCCGCGGAAGTGGGGATCAGCGGTCGGCGGCGCGTATACCAATACGCGCTGCGGTGCTTCGTTGCGTGCCGTAGAGCCGATTGTCAATGGATATAATGCGTTGACTACAGTTAACTGTTAATATCTGCGCTCTTCTTTACTGAATGGGTGCACGACGCCTATGCAATGTTAACATTACCCGTGAGTAAAGCGCATTTTGCCTCTCATAGGGATGCTCGCACTGGGCGACTCTCTTCACGCTTTCGCACTAAGTCACGTCTTTGCTGTGTTTGTGCATGGTTAGCTTGTGTTACATTTGCTACCTACTGCTGTAGCTTGACTGAACTACTTATTTACATCTTTGTCATGTACATTCTATAAAAAAGAGAGAAAGAAAGATCGTCCACATATCTGCGATTAGTTCAGTACCACCGTTCGCACCTTATATGCATAGGATTTTTTTACTCTCACTTTGTTCACCATGAAATGTGGGATAGTCGATAAGTCTAGTCAGAAAAGCTAAGTGGCTTACAGCGCTTTATGCTGCACTGTGTTTACCGTAATTACTCGAATCTAACGCGCACCTTTTTTCCGATTAAGCGAGTTCATAAATCGCATGCGCGTTAGAATCAAGTACGAAAAAAAAAAAAACGAATACGGTCGTTCTATTGCCATCGGCATTCCGAAATGGCCGCCCCCTACGTGCGTCGGCCATTTCTGCCTATGTGTTTCCCATGTGCGGCACTTCGTACGTGTGCTGAGGTGTTCGTCATCTTGGTGTGCATTGGCATCGACGGCATGGAAGGGCCGACTACGAAAACTCGACGAGTGCACCACGGTGCCGCTTTTAAAAGAAAAGATTGCGTGTGCCGAAACGGACGTAATTCGGGCTGCATCGCGGTCGTTCGGAGTTCCCGAAACGTGCGTGCGGGACCGGCGGAAACAAAAGC